GTCCTCTCTGGAGAATGAGCCAGAAATCAATCCTCCAGGAAGGATCCACATGAATAGGGAAGCCAAATGATCTGGGGTGACCATCAACAGGTGAGTCAGGTCTATAAGCTCTTGATATATTTGTTTGATGGTTTATTGTCACATACGATGTATTGAACACTAGGAAAGTCCATTTCTAAAAAAAAGGACTAATTTTCCCTTTTTGAAAAAAAAAAAAAGTTACTCAGTCTTAGAATTCCAAAAGGAAGAGGAATAATAATAGTGAAGAGTTGCTGGGCAGTTCTGGGTATCAGAAACTCATTTCACTCATGCGTGTGCAATACTCATTTTGTTTAATCTTCACAACAGCCCTAGGAAATAGATGCTATTATTATTCCCATTTTACGGTTGAGAAAGTAAGGGTTGTAATACTTAAATATTTCCTTTTAAGCGGCAGCAACAGCTGGCGGCCCTCCCTTGCTCATGTTCTGTGGAGGATCGAGAGTCCAGGCATTTATACCAGCATTGGCAAGTTCTTCTTATGCACCTGGGGAAGCCCAAGATCTGCATGAAATCTTATTCCGTGCAGGGCAGAATGGCATCACAGACAAAACAGAAATCAGCGTTGTTGGAGATGGAAAGAAAATGATGCCACCTGCATGCCCACTCTTCACGGAGCCTCCTCTCTTAGGAGCTGGCCCACAGAGCCCTCTCTTAGCAGCCTCATGCCCCACAAGGGGCCTGGCTCGGCTCCCCCACCTGTCATCATGAACTGTCTCACATGGTACTCCAATCATGTTGTATCTATTGTCTGTCCAGTAAGGATCCCAAGGCACTTAGGTCAGGAAGTGACCAGGTGTGCTTTCCTTGCTTCTGGTTCTGCTCTGAGCACATTGTTGGTCTCCAATAACTTCAGACTATTCAAATGGGGGGACAAGGGTGGACAAGGCTCTTCCTCCTATAACCTGGTTGGAAAAGGAAACCCCCTCATTTTTCACGTTGTTGAAGAAAATAGGGAATAATTTGGTGAGATAGGTATGACCCTTTCATATTTCATATGCATATATTCTGAATTCAGAGGCGTATTAGATACTATTAGATATTTCTTGTGATTCACCTGCCATGTAAATGGGATCCCAATTGTATCATTCTAAGACAAGACTGGTTAGGTGAAAGGCACAGACAGACAGGACTTGCAGGAGTTGGGAGCAGATACCTTAGGAGTTCAAGTCTGCAGCCAGTGCTTGCTGCTATGACAGGACAACACAATTTTGTTCTGCGGTTTTGCTGCAGCCTACATATTGACGCAGCCAAATGAATTCCCCTCTTTGCAACCTGACCTCCTTCTTACTGTGAAATGATCTCATTTCAAGGCTAGCCACAAGAGGTTTGGCTGGGCACCCAGCATGCCGTGTGCCTGGCATTTGCAAATCTTCATGCAAAGTGCAAAGTTTTTTTTTTAAGACAGTAAATAAATCCTGTCCAGAGAAATCTTGGAAAGGTCTGCTCCCAGCCACGAGGTACAAAGAAAAGCAATCACTCTCCCCACCCTCACAACCATTATCTGCTGCTCTTCTCAAACGTTAAGGCTTAAGTCGCTTTTAATTTTAGATCAGGAACAATCTGATTTGGGGCCAAGGTCTTTTTTCACTGTCCTTCAAAATGTATTAAGCTGTGGTGTTTTTCCACCTCCAGCCTGCTCTGTTTCAGTTTCTTGAGTGCCAAGATCCCCACCAAGAATTCTACCTCCAGTCAGGAAAATGACCAGCCAGTAGGCAGAGTTCCCAGAATCTCAGACCACTACTTCCCACTTCTACTCAGCCTAGCCCCTCTGTGCCTCCCCACCAGTCCTATTATCTCAGAAAAGAGAAGCCCCCCTGGGGATCAGACTGTTCCCTAAACAGTACCTTCTTGCTCCCAGCCTCTGGTGTCATCAGTGACCCACAAAGCCCCAGGACAGGACTTCCAAGCAAAGGAACTGGGCATGGAGCAGGGCTCATTGCAGATACTTGGGCCTCACTTCAGTTCTGTTGGCAGACACTCAGTTGCCCACCAAGTTTGGTGTTTGAAGCCCTAGCTCTGTCTCCAGGGGTATTCTGCTTCCACTCTGCAACTCCAGCCAAGATGAGGTGGGCAAACCTGGTGGGAGCTGAGACACATAGACCGCATTTCCTAAACTGACACTGTCTTCCTATAAACATTAGCATTCAACCTACTTGACAAGACATCAAACTCCATGTTGTCCTTGACGGTCTTCCCCCACCTAAGTGGGCGGATCTGATTCTGGACTTTGGCCCATTCCCAGGCACTCCATCTGCAGTTACCAGTCTAGGTCCCCAGCTATGACCATGGAGGGCTCAACAGCCTTAGTTGGGTGCCATCTTGTCTCTCATAGTTGGTGAAGACTTCCTGATCCCAGACCTGTCTCTGGAGAAAGATGCCTAAATATTGGGTAAAAATCTGCTAAAATTTTTGTTGGAAGCCTGGTCTTTGCCATCAGCATTTCCTCACCCCAAATCTCTGACAAGAGGAATGTGGGGAAGGAAGAAGAGTTAACAAGGAAAGAGAAGATGTAAATAGGAAGAATTTAACTTTAAGCCACTGCTGGGTCCCTTGGGATCCCAAGCTCTGCAAAGCCTAGGAAAGTGACAAAATATTTTATGTTTTTCACTTCCCTCAGCCACAGCCTTTCTTGGGAACATCTGACAAGGTTGTTGGTGAACAGCATATCCAATTGCTGCCAGACAGACTGGCAAGGTGCTAAGGAGACAAGCAGCAGAAGCTGATAGAACAGCCTCCTCTTACAGAGGACACTTGTCCTTCTCTGGCATCCCTGCCTGGTGCCGCTTTGTCTGCAGAGGGGAAATCAACCCCTGCAAAGAGATGATGTCTCTGGACCACATTAATGAAATGCGCTGAACCCACCTGAATGTTATTTGGGGTGGGGGAAGATGGCCAGAATGGGATTGGAAGGGTAAGAGACTTGCTTTCCTAAAAATCTGACCCTATTTGGATTTGAGTCAACAACAGTTGGGTTCTGGAGGAACTTCAGTAACTTCCCAGGTTTCAAGGAGGTGTTTTAAGATTCGAACTGAGTCCAGTTCCTAGTGTACACCCCAGAGCCATCTCCCATGGAGGCATTATTGGGAGTGAAACAAGGTGATACTTCTGAATCCTGATCTTCATTTGAACTGACGAGTCACCCCTATGCCCCTTCCTCTCTTACCTCATCAACCTTCATTAGACTCAATGTGGAGTTGTGGAAAGGAAAAAAGAGATGTGGGAAGTTTTCTTCTTCCTGTGCCCATAGAGCTAACTGTAGGCCAAGTTGCTCTTTGCTGGATTAGATATCCACTTCTGCTTTATGGTTCTGTGCTTTCAAAGATCCTGTGCCTTAATCTTGATTCCTGGCTCACCTCTACTCAATAGCCTATCTCCCAAAAATATTCTCTCTAACAATCGTTAGGATAACTTAAATGCTAGTATGACTTTAAAGACCAAATGCAAATTCTTCTCTAAGCCACAAAGATCTTTTTGAGATAAGTCCTATAGAATCTTTGGGCTCTTATTTCCTCCTATGCCTTAGGTCACCTTTTCTTTTTTTTGGTGGGGCGGGGGCTGGGTGTGAGCTTCCACAGTCTCCAAGGTACTCTCTACCTTTTGACTTTCCAAAGGAAAATGCTTCATTCAACAAATATTTATGAGTGTCTTTCATATAGTAGGCCACGTAATAGCTATTGCTGCAATAATGCTACCTAAGAAACTACCCCCTAACATCAATGGTTATTAACAACAAACATTCTTTTTCTTGCTCACAGAGCTACAGGATGACTGGGAAAGCCCTTCTTCATGACTCTGGATTGGGTTTAGTTTGCTTCACGGGTTCTACTTCAGATCTCAGAGGAGACACAGTAGTTAGAGAACTTCAAGAAATCAAACCAAAGCATGGAAGTAGGTTTAAAGCCTCTGGTCAGATTTTGTGTATTTTACTTCTACTAACATCCCTAGCTTGTGCTGTGGAGCTGGGCATGCCCCTGCCCTGAACAAATGAGGATCCAAGGAATCTCCCAGGAGAACCATCCTATGGGGCGAGAAAGCAAGTCACAGTAGAATACGCCACTCACAGCTAAGCCATGGTACAGGAAAAGAAGAAAGAATTGTAGACAAATAATACAGTGTAATACAGAATAGTTTCCACTTTCATAAAGTTCACAGTCTAATGTGGGAGATGGATATTAAACATTTTTTAAAATTTAAACATTAAAAAAATAAGAAGAAGGGGTCTCCCCAGTGGTGCAGCGGGTTGAGCACAGTGCTATGAAGCTGTTCGCAGTCTCTGCAGCACGCGTTCGATTCCCTGCAGGCCAGGGAGATGCCCACATAGTGCAGCAGACCTCTCCTGTCTCACCCGCTGCTCCCCTCAGCAGTGTTTTCGGTCCGTCTGCCTGTTCTGCTCCCCGCTCTGTCTCTGGTGAATCCTCTCACCCTCCCGTGCCTCTGGCCTGTACCCCAGTTCTTATATAAATAAATAAATCTTTAAAAAAATTAAGAAGAACCCCCAAAAGTAAATTAATGTATAATGAATTGGGATAGATATTATAAAGAAAATGAATAATATGAGAGAACTACTTTTAAACTTGATTGAGCTGAGGTGTTGCCATTTAGGCTTGAGCAGATGAGAAGACATGCACATAGAGGACACATGGCTTTCCAGCCAGTGGGAGTGGCTTGTGCAAAGGCCCTGAGGAAGCTGTGATCTTAGTGTGGTTGAAAAACCAGAGTAAAATCCAGAGTGTCTGGAGCAATAAGGTAGGAAAACATAGTGTGAGCTAAGATTGAAGATGCCTGCAGGGCCCTGACTTGTTGCTGTTCCCCCCCTGTATCACCCAACTATTGCCTTGACAGTTATTCAGTGCTGCTAGGAAAATAACACCTCCTCTTGAAGCTTCCTTACTTTGATCAATGTATTGAAGTCTCTTTATACAATAAACAAAAGCACAAGACAAGTCTCTGTGTTGCAGGGGGTTGTGCTAGGGAGCTGTGAATTCTTCTGCCCAGAACAAGTGAGGATCAAGACATCTCCTGGGAGGACCACACTATGGGGTAAGAAAGCTGGGCCTCATGGGTGGACAGCTTATCAGAAGGGAAATTTCTGAATTTCGGCTTTAGGACTCAGACCTGCCCCCAGCACAAGGGAACTTTCTGGAGTGAAGAAAAGCTTTCTATCAAGATGAGGGTGATATCACCCAGGCTTGTCATTTGTCAAGACTCATCAAACCCATATACTTAAAATGGATGCACAGTACTATATGGAAATTAGACCTCAATACATTTGAATTTAAAGGCAAAAAAGCGAAAGAAAAAGCAATTAATGTACAGGAAGCAAAACAAAGTAAAAATCTGAGCCTGGCCCACCTCCCTAATGTCCTGCAGAGAGAGATGGCTGTAAAGAAGAAGTTTTCAAAGCTCTCCACCATACTAGAGCACAGACAGCTTTCTCTGCTTGGGGACCTTTTTTATTAAGAATACACAAGAGGAAGGGAAATACTCTCCAGCTTGCTATGGGCCACTGGGCCACCTTAAGACCTGGAGGGTTCAGGCTGGTGATGGTGACTGGGTGGGAGGTGGGTGATAGGGCACCTATTGGAGGAGCAGAAGCGACAGTCACATTGAGCAGTATGGAGATGGGTGTGGCCACAAGCGTGGGCACTGGCCCAGTGGAGCACGGGAGAAATGATACATCCTTGGTGCATGGTCCAGATAATAAAATAATGCCATCCACAGGTATGAACTGCAGGTGCAACTTTAAGTTTTCTATAGCCACATTTAAAAAATAAAACAAGAACAAACCCCAAGTGAATTAATTTATAGTTAATTTTACTTAGTACCTCCCAATGATCATTTCAACATGTGATCAGTATGTAAAAGATATTACTATTTTACATATTTTGTTTGAAGTCTTTGTAATCCAGTGTATATGCGCTACTGCATCATTTTGAATTAGTTGCATTTCAAGTACCCAATAGGCACCTTCTGAACAGTGCAGGTCTGGGCACAGCAGTGCTCAGGGAACCACGGTCATTGTGAGCACATCAGGGCTCTCTCCACCCCACTCCACTCAAGGACAAAGGCCAATAAACTCAGTCTCCAGCAATAGCAGGGAGCAGGGACTCCAATGGGGCCGAGGTCCCTAGTGAGACAGTGAGGGTGTGAGCCTAAGAAATCTAGCTACTGTTACCGAGAAGCATCTCCATAAAAAGGGGGAGCTTCCATGTTCCCTGCCCACCTAATGAAATGAGGGGAAGCTCATTTAGTTCTGAGGGGAAGGTAGAGGAGGCTGGGAGAAGAGCACTTGGAGAGAAAACTTGGAGGACACACAGAGGGGAGACATGGAAGGAGGCAGGTGAAGGGAGACAAGCAGAGGCACTTGGGAGAGACATGGTGCGAGACATTTGCGGAGGCTGACCGCAGCAGCCCTTATCTTGATTTGTGCTTTGATTTTGTTTCCTTCATCCCAGACTTGCCTGGGCCCTTGTATACCTTGCCTCTGGTTCCCAGCCCAGAAAGTGCCTTAGACTCATGGCAAGTTTTCAGGCCTCAGCAGCTCCACAGTGGGCCAACCCTGATTGGCTGGACATTTGCCCATGAGGGGATGGGTACTTGGGGTGTTTTATTGGGAAACTATTATCCTTTCTTCTCTCTTTATTTACACCAATCCTAAGTGAATGCAATGTCTTTATGCAGCAGCTGGCAGAACCCTTTTAGAGCATGCAAGTTTGGAGGTTCCAGGGCACCCTTCAGTCTACATAATAAGACTATTACTGTGAATGAGAGAGCACTCGTACCCATGGACTTGAGAGACCCAGGGAGCTCAGATTATATGTGTATCTTTAAAAGTCATATTCTGGCGTTCACTTAACTGTACTTTTAACTCTGAGCATCACATAAAAATATCAGTTGGATCTTAGCAATCCTCTTGACCTTTGTGCTTCTGTTTACCTACGGTATGAATGCTATATTTCCTGGCTTCTTTTTCATTCAAGCCACCTATAATTCTTTTCCTCATTCCATTTATTTATTCCTCTCATCCTAACTCAGCTAGTAGAGTAGGATATTTTAAAGTTTAACTTCTGTAATTTGGACTACAAGACATTGATCTACAGAATCAGTTTTCAGGTACACATACCTGCCCCTTCTGCAGAAGCACTAACCCCTTCCACCTTGTCCAGGACAACACGTTTTACCTGGTGGACAGTGACTTACAAAGCCAAACATTAATATTTCACAGTTTAGAGGAGTTGAAAACAGTCAGCATTTACTGTTTATGAAGTGAGTTATAGCTACAAAGTTTAGAACAAAGTCCTCAAAAAAGTGGTGTCTACTACCAGTAGCTTAGCAATTGGACAAGTCCATTCAACAGGTGCCTGCTTTGTACCAGGCACTGTTCTAGGTGCATGGGAATGAAATAGATCCCTGCCCTCAGACAGCTTGGAAGATAGAAAATGAGCATTGAATATCATGAATATGCAGATGATTTAGAACATCAGAAGGTGGCAAGTGTTGTGAAAAAAGGACAAGGTGGAGCAGGTTAAGAGACAGCAAGTCCTCCAATAACTTCTCTTCCTTCAGTGGTTGTTTCTTATAATGTTGGTGAGAAAAAAAAAAAATCATCAAGCCCCTATCCCCCTCATTGAAAGAAACACAGTCATTCTGGAACCTGGTTTCCTCATGTCTTTTCTCTTAAATTCAGTTTCCAAGAACCAATTAATGACATTAAGTGAGGACTTACTGTGCACAGTGGTGGAGGGAGGGCAGCTGACATGCAAAATGGGATGTCCATGGTTGTCAGCCCCACTGAGAAGTCCTGGTCTGAGCAAAGGCTCAAGGCAAATGGGTAAAGGCATTTGTGCAGTGGACTAGCAGGACAACAGCATCATGAGAGGGAAGAGAAAGAGGGAAAAGCAGGCATGAGAACAATGAAGGAGGGAGAGAGACAGAGCGGAGAACATGGTTCACTTATGTGCTTCAACAGCCCAGGAAAGCGATCACCTTCCCACACCTCCGAAGAGCCTTAAGCCAGGAAGTTGAATGAATTTGGCAATCTTGGACCTGGCCTAGAATTGTGAGCTGAGAAATAAGGAGTCAGGGTGAGCTAAAGGAAACTTTTTGCTCAAACCTAAGGGAAAGAAATCAGGTTAGATTAAAATCCATAGACAAATATTCATAAAGGGAATACTTAGATGACAATTTTTTATTTAGATATAATTGACATCTAGCATTATATTAGCTTCAGGTGTACAACATAATGATTCTATATCTGTATATATTGGGAAATGGATACCACAATAAGTCTAACTAGTGTCTGTCACCAAAGTTACATTTGTTTTCTTGTGATTAGAACTTTTTTTTTAAAAGATTTATTTATTTATTTATACAAGCACTGGGTACAGTCAGAAGTGCAGGAGGGTGAGAGAATTCACCAGAGCCAGAGCGGGGAACAGGCAGACTGACAAAGTACACTGCTGAGGGGAGCAGCGGGCACGGCAGGAGAGGTCTGCGTGCCATGTGGGACCCTCACCGGCAGCCGGGGATTGAACCGGCGCTGCAGGGGCTGTGGGCAGCTTCGCAGCCCAGCGCTGAACTGCTGCGCCACTAGGGGAGGCCCTGATTAGAACTTTTAAGATCTATTTTCTTAGCACTTTCAGATATGCGAAACAGTATTGTTAACCATAGTGGCCATGTTGTATTTAATATCTCCATGACTTGTTTATTTTATAACTGGAAGCTCATACCCTTTGACCACTTCATCTGTTCCACCTACCCTTTTTCCCCTCTGGCAACCAATCTGTTCTGTGTGTCTATGAGTGTTTATTTTTTTAGATCCTACATACAGATGAGATCATGTGGTATTTGGCTTTGTATGTCTGACATTTTATTTAGCATAATGTCCTCAATACCCATCCATGTTGTCATAACTGGCAAGATTTCATCCTTTTTTTCTGACTGAGTAATATTCCACCTTTTATCCATCCACCCATCAATGGACACTTAGGTTGTTTCCATTTGTTAGTTTTTGTAAATTATGCTGCAATGAACAAGGGGAATGATTTGTAATTTTTTTTTTTGGGGGGGGGTTTGTTTTCACATTCTAAAGCCCAGAAGTGGAATTGCTGGATCATCTGCTATTTCTGTTTTTAATTTTCTGAAGGATTTCCTCCATACTGTTTTCATATTGGCTGTCACAATTTGCATTCCCACCCACAGTATACAAGTGTTCCCTTCTATCCACATCCTCACCGACACTTATAGCTTCTTGCCTTTATAACAATAGCCATTCTCACAGGTGAGCTGATATCTCATTGTAGTTTTGATTTGCTTCTCCATGATGATTTAGGTGGTATTTTTAAAGTTTATTTCTTATAATATTCTTTCATTTCTTAATGTTACTGTGCAGTTTTTTTAAAAAGGAGTTTTGTTTTAGAAGAAGGAAAAAGCCATTGTGGCATAGTGAAAACAGCATTGTTGACATCAGATTCCTGAATTTTTAGCTCCATTCTGTCATTAATTATTCGTGTGACCTTAGGCAAGTCACTTCGACTCTCTGAGTCTCAGTTTTCTCCTCTATGAAATGAGAGGAGAGGGCTAAATGGTCTCCTCTGGCTCTAAATGTGTGTGGCTTTTTAAATGAGTGGAAAATACCTTCATTTTCCTCTCAGTTAACACCCCTAATGGGCTGCCTGACCTTGTGATACCCAAGGTCAAGGTCATAAACAAAGCAGTCCTTTACCACAGTTAGTACACCCTGACTATAGACAAATAAAGAATCTCTTGAGAGTTGGATTTGGTACTAAACCTCTGCTGTGACAATGACCAGTCCAATCAGGGGTAGGATGGGATCAAACAGTGACCTGGCGGCCTCTCCCAGCTCAGGTGAGCCAGGTCCTGGGCCCTTCTGGAAGACTGTCCCTCTCTTATTTACATATTCAATGAGTGTTTGTGAGGGTCCACCCTGTGACCCCTGGAGAAGCCTCACCATGTCTTCAAACCTTAATTGCACATTTTTAATCCCACCTTTTCTTGTGTTGATTGTCACTAACTGAGCA